CAGGATATTTGCCAGGCAGCCTGTTGGTCCTCGCCTTTGACCTTTGCACGGTTTCACAACCTGAATGTGGTATCTCCTTTGTCCTTCGGGAATGCTGTCTTGAGTTCCTGAGTTCAATCCTACGAAGTTTCATCTGACTTCATGCAGTTAGCCAATTCAGTCTTGTTGGCATAATGTTTGTATTTCAATGAAGGTCTTAAAGGCACTTTGTGTATTGTGTAGTTTGTACATCTGCTGTAATGATTGTCCTCCGCGACGTTGGGGTATACATATATTCCAGCCCTCTGGGCTAGCCGTCTGGCAGCCTTTCTTGAGTGAAACAGAACGTTGGGTTACGGATGTAACCTTGGTTCTGTGAAGGAAAGAAAGGCTGCCAGACTTTGTCGTCGCTCTGGTCTTCAGGATTTTATGAGGACGATCGTGTGCCACACACAGTTATATCCAGTGACGTGCACACTCACATGTAAGTAATGTTTTGTTATAGGTCTACCTCAGAACTCGCGCATGCGCGGATTATATTCCAGCCCTCTGGGCTAGCCGTCTGGCAGCCTTTCTTTCCTTCACAGAACCAAGATTACATCCGTAACCCAACGTTTTGTTGCATTGAATGTCATTCACTTTTTCATCATGGACAGTGTGTAACCAGAATCTACTCAGACTTGCTTCTTATGTTTGTTTTGGCTCTGGGATATGCGTCTCACTGTCAGAGGAACAGGAAAAACACACGTTTACTCTTACTTTAATTCTCATGTGAATGAAAAATTGTCTATTTATAGAGAGAGGTGCATATTAACATAATACTCATAATAATCATCTGAAAGAGAAGAAGGCGCTTCAAAAAAAAAAAAGTTTTTATCCTAAGGCAATCATGCTAGTGAATGCTGATCTAAATGCTGGTGTTATCAAAGAAAGGGTGTGTGGGGGGCACAGGTGGGGGGGTCAGAATGAATGTATGTGTGTTTATGTATTTATTAAGTTTTATATATATAAAACTGGCCTACATATGAGATTAAAACATTTTAAACATCTTTAAACATTTTATTTTGTATTGGCAAGATACAATTTCTAGGATTAGCCATTAATATCTCCCTACATGGTAAAATCAGTTTCATTAAAATCAGGCTTCTTGTAGTAAGTTGGCTAAATAGCTTGTTCTATTTGTTAAACTGAGCTAATATCTTATCTTGCACAGCATTAAGCTAAATTCCTGATCCTGCTGGCTGAATGGTTCTAGTGGTACAAAGCATTATCTTGTTGAGAAAATCCGTTCACAAATAGATCCATTTGGAGACACATGATCAGTACTGATGTGCAGAACTTGTGTTATTCAAACGTTTCATCCTCGTTTATAGACACGTCTTGATAAGCAGCTGTCAGTCTTCCTAACAGTGACCGATTCTGGGTTTAACATCATCCATATAGCACTTCTTATAGCATATTTCTTTTTTGACTGTAAATGTCTCTTCTGAGTAATATCCAGCATATACCAATAATACCCTTTTGTTTTTCAGAAAAAATAATAATAATGGAAACACAAGTATATAATATCTGTTATCTTTAAATAACAGAAAGACTACAGTGCTCGCTTTGCTGTCCTGAAAATGAAACCTACATAACAAATGGTCATTGAAGATATTACAGTAAGTCATTAAATTAAGGAAGCGCAAAATCACCATCTGCTCATTAGCTTTTCCTTTTAACAAAGTAAAGTCTTAGGGAAATTCCTTTGGGGTTCAGAGAAGTAATGCTGCTCTGCCTCTATATAAGACAGAGCAGAGGCGCCTCTCAGACCAGACTCAGCTCCTCTCTGTCCTCCAGCACACGGCTGCTCCTCTCTCTCTCTGTCCATCTCTTTCCTTCTGCCTCTGCATCCATCCAGCTGGGATCCAGTGAGGGAACCATGAAGACTCTGCCTGCTGTTCTGTTCCTGGTGCTGCTCTGCTCTGTGCAGCTCGTCTACAGCAGTAAGTGTCTCAGAACCTCGAAATAAGACTGTTTGCATCTTTATATGGTTTAGGAAAGATTCTGAGTGGTTAATGACTATTAGTATATTATACTTATGAAGTAAATTTTTGTGTAATACTGTGCCTGTGTTAATAAGTGTGTATGTAACATTTCTGATATAATGTGTCTATGCTGTACTATGTATAGTAATGCTGTACTATGTGGAAACTCTGGCAGGGGTTGTGCGATATGATTTTTAACAATTAAATTAACAATTAAAGTCAAAGTGAATGTATGTTTTTCGCAGATATACCAAGTCTTTCTGATTCTTGTTGTGTGGATTATTACAACAAAAGGATCCCACTGAATCAGATTGTCTCCTTCTACGAGACCAGCAGCAGCTGTCCTAAAAGAGCATTAGTGTGAGTATTTATCTCTCATTAATATCATCTGCTGTTATCAGGAACACAATCACCGGCACCTGGATTATTAATCTAAGGCATGTAAACAGACCTTAATTTATATCCTCACTTCATAGGGCGCTTTTCCACCTCACAAAGTACGGTACTTTCGCTTTTCCATTGACTTCCGGTCGAGTACCATTACCGAAATCTCGAGTACCAAAAGTGCCAAACCAGTTGGGGTACTTCTTTGGTACTTCGGTACTTTGGCGTGGGACTTGCAAACGTATTTGCTGTCGATTGGTTATGCAAATAGCCTGCCGCTGAAACACAAAATACAACCGCCAT